GATAAACTTGACAACTAAGATGAAATGGACAGGTGCTTTAAAAAAATACAACTTAACAAAATTGACAGAAGATGAAATATAAAATCTTACCTCTATGTTTATTAAAGAAATTAAATTTTGTATCAAAAATTTCCCTCCAAAGAAACTACAGACCCAGATGGTTTCACTAATTAATTCTATTGCCTATTTAAAGAAAAAATAACACCAATATTAAATAAACTCTTAGAAAATAAAGGAGGAAAGAACATCACTTAAGTTTTACAAGGCAGCATTACCCTGCTAACAAATGCTGGCAAAGATATTACAAAATATAGCCAGCCCTCTGTATCAGTGGGTTCCACATCCATGGATTCAACCAACCTTAAATATTAAAATAAATAAAAATTTAAAAGCAATACAATTTTTAAAAATAATGCAGAATAACTAGTATTTGCATTATTATAAGTAATCTAGAGATAATTTAAAGTACAGAATATGTATAGATTATATATAAGTACTCTGCCATTTTATATAAAGGGATCTTGGGACCAAACCCTTATGGATACCAAGGGATAAATGTAAATAAAAATTACAGACTAGCATCCTTTATACTTAGAGACAAAATCTAATACATATAAAAAGGATAATACATCATGACAAAGAGAAGTTTATCCCATGAGTGCTACATTGTTTTAACATTTGAAAATCAACTAGTGTAATTCACTATATTAAGAGAATAAAGTAGAAAAATCACATGATCATTTCAATAAATGTAGAAATAGCATTTGACAAAATTCAGCACCTTTCATGATTAAAAAAACCTCTCAGCTAATTAAGAAGAGATAAATTCCTCAATTTCATTATAAAAGGCATCTATTTAAAAAAACTTACAGTCAATATCATACTTAAATATTGAATGCTCTGTCCCTAAGATTGAGAACAAAGGAAAAATGTCAGCTCTCACCATTTCTAGTCAATATTTCAGAAAGAAAAAGAAACAAGGGCGGGAGGTGACCCTTGTGTGCAAAAGAAAGAAAGCAAAAGAAACATAAGGTATAGAATTAGAAATTAAGAAGTAAAATTGTTTCTAATTGCAGATAGCACGTTCATTTATGGAGAACATCTTAAGGAAATTACTAAACTGCTAGGACTCATAAGTGAATTTAGCAAGTTCTCAGGGTACTATGTCAAAACACAAAAATACATTGTATATTTACACATAGCAGGAAGAATCAATTAGAAAATGAAATTCAAAAACCCCCCACTATTTTACAATAGTAGCCAAAAAAAAGATATTTATAAATAAATTTTCCAAAAACCAAGTATTGTGTCTAAACTGAAACCTACAAAATAGTGCTGAGAGAAATTGAAGACCTAAAGTCAGTGAAAATGAAAATTCGTTAAAAAAAAATGTGAATTAAAACCACACTGAGATACCACCTAACTCCAGTCAGTATGGCCACCAACAATAACTCAGAAAACAACAGATGCTGGAGCGAATGCAGGGAAAAGGGAACACTTCTACACTTGATGGGAGTGTAAATTAGTACAGCCTCTGTGGAAAACAGTGTGGCAAGTCCTAAAAGATCTAAAAATCTACCTCCCATACGACCCTGCAATCCTCCTGCTGGGAATATACCCAGGGGAACTCAAATCACTCTGTGAAAAAAATACCCGCGCACACATGTTTATTGCAGCATTATTCACAATAGCAAAAACATGGAACCCATCATGCTGCCGATTGAAAGAGGACTGGATTTTTTTAAATGTACATATACACCATAGAATACTATGCAACCATAAAAAAGGACAAAATAATGAACTTCGCAGCAACTTAGATGGACTTAGAGTCTATAAATACTGAGTGATCTATCACAGAAACAAAAAACTGAGTATCACATTTACTCATAAAGCGAACCTTGAACCATTATCATAATACTATAGGAAAAGGATTGGCAATAGTGGGAAACTGCGAGGGGCAGGGAGGACACACCTCATCAACAAGGCTTCCTGCATAATGAGCATTTGGATGCCTAACCTTGAAATGTACCCCATCTTAAAAATAAAAACTAAAAAAAACTAACTACGGATATGTCCAGAGATGTGGATTAATCTCAAAAACATTGTGCTGAGCAAATGGAACCTGCAAAGGGGCTCTTATGCTTGATTCCACCTATTCCTGTTTGAAATTCTAGAGCAGGCAGACATGGCGGTAAAAACAAAAGCCAGAATGTATTGATCTCTGAGGGTTGGGCTGATGGGGAAGGTGTGTGAGGGAACTTTTTGGAGTGATTATAATGTTCTATATTTTGGCAGAGAGTTGGGTTACACAGGAGTACTCAATGACTGATAAGTTAATGCTCCTGCATATTTGCATTCTAAAAGTGTCCTTAAACATACTGAACTCTTGTTAATGGTTCATGGTTAATGGTTCTTGTTAATGGAAACTAAAGTGCTTAGGAGTGAGGTATAACCCTTATCAAGTATGGAACTTAAAAAGTGGTGTGTAGGTGTCGGACATAGGGGAAGGAGGATAGTTCTTTGAGGATTTCTTCTGAGTAGAATTGTTTGTTCTAACTTTGTTTATTGTAAGAAGGTTTTCTTCAGTTTGTTCGTAATACTTTCCACGTTACTGAATCCTTATTTTTCATTTTGTAATCCTGTATTTTGCAATATTAATCTTATTTTGTTTTCTAAGTCATTAGGTTTCCTCTATTGTTTTATGTATGTAATTTGAATAGAAATTGTTTTTTTAGTTTTATTTTATGAATTGCTTTAGTATAATTGATTCTTTGCTCTTTTCTCACAACCTTTAAGAAAAATTTTTATAGTATTTACAAGTTTAAGTAGCATCCCTCTGCATTATATAGCATGTTTCTAATCATTGCTTTCTTTTTCAAAACAGTGACTATAAAGTTTTGTGGTTATTTTAGAGGAATGGCAATGCTTACAGCATTCTATTTTCTTATTCCTGTTGCCCTACTTTTCTTTAATAGCTTAGTACTTTTTAAATTGGATCTGGGCGGGAACACAGTGACTCACACCTACAATCTCAGCTCTTGAGTCCAGGAGTTCAAGACCAGCTTGGGCAACATGGCAAGATCTCATCTCTGTTTATAAAAATAATAAAATTAGCTGGGTGTGGTGATGCACATCTCCAGTTCCAGCTACCGGAAAGGCTGAGACAGAAGGATGAAGTGAGCTGTGAGCGTGCCACTGCACTCCAGTCTGGGCAGCAGAGTGAGACCCTGACCTCCCCCCCAAAAAGAAAAGAAAAGATCTGGATTAATTTTAGATTAACTTTTTTACTAACAACAGTTATTTTTTTTTAGATTCACAAAATAAAAATGCATATTATAGAAAATCTTAGCCTTGGTTTTTAAATTTAATTTTTACTGAGTTTTATTAATCTTCATACATTTTGTGATGGCAGTGGGTCAGCTCAAAGAAGGCATTCTTTTCATACCCCTCAAAGTGTATTATAATGAGGAAGTCAGTTATAATAACAGTTCTCAACCCTGGCAGAACTCATGCACCCTTCTAATAAACATTTTAAACAACCTGTTTCTGTTCTGAAGTCAATAGACTTAACCTACCTGCACACACAAAATTCAGTGTTATTTCCCTAATTGTGATGTAAAGAGTAAATGAAAGTAATTAATAAATATTTCAATATATAGATTTGGGGACATGATATAATAGCCAGATGTTTTAATCAGACATAGAAACCATGAATGGGGCAGCTACAAATATTACAGGTGTTTTGCATTGGTTACTTATATACCACAAGCAATATTGCTGTCAGTGTCATGATTTTCTGAAGTATTTGAACAATTGATAAAATCCTGAACAACATACATACAAAGATACATATGCATGTGTTTATGTATGTGTTTTTAACATCTGGATTTTTTCTTTCACAGATAATAATTGTATAACCATTTAAAAAGATCCTGAGCAAAAAAAAAGTACAGATTTCCATCAATTTACACGTTCTATGAGTTTCTGGAAATGTTGGCATCCAAACTATGCAAACATTTTTATGTTTGAAACAAGTTCTGACTCAGATCATTGTAAACAGACTTTTCATCTTCATGAGTGTCCAGGAGGACATTTGAAAGTTATGAATGTCAAAGGGCAATTCTATGTGCAGGACTCTTCTGCGAATTGCAAGTCATCTAGCATCCCAGGACCCTGTGCACTAAATGCCATAATGGCCCCTTAATCATATATGACTTCCAAAACACCATATTAGGTGCTTCCTGGCAATGGATCTCTTTGGCAATGGTGTTACCTCTCAGAGTAATGTTCATAATGCGTAAGATAAAATACATAGGATTTCAAACTGATTGTATTGAAATACAGATCTCAGGTTAAGAATCCCTGTAAGAGGTGATACCACACTCCTTTCTGATACATATACTCCAGTTGAGAACCGCTAAGCGGCGGGGCCTTCTGTATTGAGGGAAATGGTGAAAGCCATAGTCTTAAAATATTACGGATTAGAAAGTACATTTGGTGGCTCCATCATTTTGTCATCAACATAATGGCATCAGTAGAGAACTAACATTCACTCTCTAATAGAATCTAATGGAATGGAAGCAAATAACCTAGGAACTGTATTTCTGTTCTAATTTGCATCAGAGATTAAGCATATCAAAAGGATATATTTTCCATTTTCATTATGACTAAACCACCTGACGAACATCAAAGTTCGGATCTTTCACCAACTTGTTTATTCATATATTAAGGGAGTAAGGCCACCTTGACAGAACAAAATCTTCCTCCAGCTGCTACTGCTTGGCACGTTGGCCAAGAACTTACACATATCAATTTACACATGTTAAACAAACGAATCTAGGAACAGGAATCATAAAGCATGGCAAACAGAAGTTTATTTCAGCAGGTGCCCACTCGGCACTTTCCAGGAGTGCATGGCAAGAAGTGGCCACATCATCTGTGGGTAAATAGCTTTTTGTGACATATGTGTAGAAAGCTGAGATGATTTTTATTTCTTTTAGGGTATGTCTCTGTGCCAGACTGTTGTTGTAGGCTCTGTAGTCATCCTCCTCTACTCTTCAAGAGCTTGTTATAATTTGGTGGTAATCACTGTATCTCAGGATACATTAGAAAGTCCATTTAATTATGGCTGGGATAACCTTTCAGATAAGGTAAGTACTTACCACATACTGCTAATCTAACAGTGTGATCATTAAGTTACCCTCGACTAGAAGAACATTTTATTTATATATGATACTTGAAATCATTCCTCAGAGAGAACTCTTCCCAAAGGAGTATTTTATTATCTTTTTGTAAATAACAACAGTATCATAAGCTTATTGGTCATAAACCTATTTTATACATTTTTAAATAATGGTGTTTAAATATCTCTAGGTAAATTAATTGCCTCGAATTAGCCGTTGAATATGGGTCTTTAATTTGTTAGGATGAAAGTAACTCTCCCCTAGCCAAGAACTACACATAACTTTAGTATTTGACGGAAGTACAGATGTTTAAATAATGACTTATAAAAATCTAGCATTATTAGTATTAATAATCAGCATTTATAGTTCCTTGTGTGTCCAGGTGTTTGCTATAGTAATTCTCAGTACTCTATGCAAATTTAACTTCCCAGAATTCTCCATCCCCTTCCTAAATGCACAGTTTGACATAACTATGTGTCATATCTTTATAGTAATTCAACTTTGTTCAGAATTTATGGCATGCTGTAATACTATTTTTCATTTACCTTTTTAAAAAGAAGGAATTTTCACATGTGGTTCCATGTTGTATATTGTCTTCATTCTTTTTCCCATTTCCCCCTCCCAACATCTGGTAGGATAGAAACAAATTCAACATGTAGGGCAGGCCCAAAACCATATTTAAAGTAGCACCTGAGCTGAGTGACTTCCCATGTTATGTTTCTCTACAGGTGTAACTCAGAGTAAATACTATTGTTTTGCCTAGAGAACAACTGGAACAGTCATTTCTTTAAAAGTCACTCTCGAGCCGGGCTCAGTGGCTTAACACCTGTCATCCCAGCACTTTGGGAGGTAGAGGGAGGCAAGAGGATTGCCTGAGCCCAGAGTTTTGAGACCAGCCTGGGCAACTTGGCGAGACCTCATCTCTACAATAAGTCAAAAAATTAGCTGGGTGTGGTGGCATGTACCTGTAGTTCCAGCTACTTGGAAAGGTGGGGCGGAAGGATCACCTGATCTCAGCAGGTGGAAGTTGCAGTGGCCATGAGCGTGCCACTGCACTCCAGCCTGGGCGACAGAGTGAGACCTCAACTCAAAAAAAAAAAAAAAGTCACTCTCTTTAGACTATGGGGCCTAAATATTAGACACTCCATATTACCTATAGTTTAAATTATTTTAATAAATTGATGTATCGAAAAAAGTAGCAGCTTTTTATTCTGCATAACTTCAAAGCGTTTTAGTTCTTTAAAGGATAAGTGTCATTCCATGAGAAATAACAAATATAGAAGATGTTAGAGTTTATGTGCTCAGGGTTGGCCTATTTTAACTTACCAGATCTGAAACAACTTAATTGTGGGGGTGATTGTTACACACGAAACAGATATAAAAATCATCTTCCGTGCTCTGTTTACAGGCTCATGAAGAAGACATAAGTGGAGACGAATATGTAGTGTTTGGAATGGTCCTCTTTCTGTGGGAACATGTGCCAGCATGGTCAGTGGTACTGTTTTTCCGGGCACAGAGATTAAACCAGAATTTGGTATGATATTATGATATTCCCCAATGCTTCTCCTTAGTTTCAAAAATTATGGATGTTTATATTGATTTTCTACTTTTAACAGTTTCTCTCCTCCTCTCTTAACGGAAAAGGGAACCTTCACATATTATCTAATACTTTGTTCACAGGCACCTGCTGGCATGATACATAGTCACAGTTATAGTTCCAGAGCTTACTTTTTTGACAATCCAAGACGATACGATAGTGATGATGACTTGCCAAGACTGGGAAGCTCAAGAGAAGGAAGGTAGATGTAACAAAAGTCACTCAGCCTGAATTATTACTGAAATAGATTGAGTAGAACGAATCTAAGCTTTGGTGGCATATGTCAACAAATAAGATCTATAATATTGGAGCTTCAAGCAGTAGATGTTAAACCCACAGTGGGACCTGCACTGTAAAGACCTGACACTCACTCAAAGCCTGTATCCTTTTGGGAGTAAAATAGTATCATTTCATTTCAGGAGTGCTTATTGGCTCAGACCAGTTTGGGGAGGGAGATGTGCAGGAAATAATACTATAATAGGGATTATTTATCTGTTTCCATATCTTTAGTTCTGTTCCAAATGCTGAGACACCCTAGGTAAAATTATTGGGAAGCTTAAGTGCCAAAATAAATCTTCCCAGGCCTTCCTTGTTCCTAAACTACTGCGAGTCCTTAACTAGTATATTCTTAGCTGTGACGCAGGGCAAAGAGAAAACTTTAATGCATACCTACACAATGTTTTCAGCTTGATACAACATTCTCTGTAATCCTAACTTCATCTGGACAAGTTACTTAACTTCAGTTTTTTGAGCCTATAAAAATAGATATGATAATAGACCTATCTCATAGGTTTGTTGTAAGGATTAAATGAGTGTATGTGCATACATATATACATACTCATACATAGGTGTCTTGGAATAGAGCCTAGCACATAAGGACTATATTATTATTATCTGATCATCCAGTTCTACAGTTCTGGCATTTATTCATTCTTTTGTAATACAATGTGATATAGAATCAAGGAAATTAGATGAAAATCATTCAATTTTGTAGAAAGGCATTGTGTTATTTAGCAGAGAACATATTTCAGTATATTGATGCCAACTGTATTACAAAATTCATTGAAAATGTTCAAAAAATTCCATGTGACTTCTCATATCCTGCTCACAGTCCGATGGCTTCTCTGCCTTTTTTTGTTGCAGTTTGTCCAATTCCCAGAGTTTGGGCTGGTATGGCACCATGGCCGGGTGTGGCGGCAGCAGTTACCCAGTCCCTCCCCACCTGAATGGACCTATGGCAGATACTGCACCTTTGCTCTTTACCTGTAGTAATTTAGATATGAGCACTCATCATAGCTTATATGTGACACCATGAAACTGGCAGTTGTGATTATTGAATTGTTTTTCATGAATGTGTATGTTCAATGTGTTTGAATTCCGTCTACATAAACATTCCATTATCTATGGCAAATGAAAACAAAATCTGGAAATATGGCTGTGTTTGGTGGAGCACAGCTGTTACTTTTGGCCTCATACTAAAATGAAGTAAAATGAAAGTTCGGAGTAGCAGAAAAGAGAGATTAGACCTTAAGGCACTTGATGGGCCTCCAAATATCCTGACTTTGGAACATCAAATGCATATTTGCACTTTTATCTTTGTTCTTAAGAGTACACTGCAGTCCCCAAAGTCACATGCCTGTGTTCACACTGGAATACTGTATTGTACACCAAACTGGAAGGCAATTTTCCTATGAAAATCAAAGCTTGTCTATTCAGTGATGTACTTTATATGGAATTCTTACCCAATAAAAATTGTAGTGTGAACAGTGCACAGAGTTAAGGCATCAAAATGTATCATTCTTTATTAAAATCTATTAAAAATACTTAATCATTGAAGATAGTTCTTTCATGCATGATTTAAAAATATCACTTGACATTATCCAATCATTTTAAACAAATGATAATAGTAATGTATTACAGTGAGGACCAGCAGTGTTCTTTGGAAAGCCACAGTAATTTCAAGAGGAAAATATATCAGTGAAAACTATGTGGCTACTTTGAGTAGAATTGGTCAAGTGATTATTTTGTATAATTAAAATATATATTGTAGTTTAAGCATGATTTTCAAGAAAGCAATAGTGACTTTTGCATAGGGAGATTTTGGTAGAAACTTCTTGGGACTAAACAAGTTTACAAATGCATTTAAGAATTATTCATAAAATGTACAATTGTAAGTTAAAACATGAATACATTTTCAAAAGCATTCAATTTATCTGAAGCAAGATATAGCTGGTCTTACTTATTGAATCAGTATTGTCCTCAGGTAAATTAAGTCATGATACATTATTGCAGTGAACTCAAGTGCAATACTTTGTAAGACATATAATTTCTCCTATAGTTTTCACATTTTTTATACCTTGTATATGGGCAAAACCAAATTAAATTGAATTCAAATTATTTCCAGCATTAGACTAAATGAGCAAAATTAAGTAAATGTATGAACTAGGTAAGTATAAAACCATAGGTTGACAATATTGGAATACTTTCAGAATTATATTAAAACTGTCTTGAATGTCCTGTCCCAAATCCTATATATGTATGTATGTATGTATATATATACATACATATATATATATTAGTCTAAGATAATACAGAGTTTTAAAATGCACTTTCTACCAGTGTCTACATGGAAAGAAGTAGATGCTGAATACCTCAAGATGCCAAGGGAACAGGCAACAATGAGAAGTTGTCACAACGTGCTTAAGACGATTAACTGTATACAGTTGTCTGCTGATTTGTTTCTTCAGAACTGGAACTAATACAACTGTCCTTTCCTGTCTTCTACTTTGATCAGAAAGTGGTTTTATTTCTACTCTTATTAAAATATATTTCAACTTTTTGACAGCTGATGCTGTAACTTCACAAAAGTGTAACATTTGGTGAAACCCTAAGGGGGAAAAATGTCAATGCTTTTTATCTTCTGGGAGGCTGGTATACAGCCAAATAAATTTCTTTTTTTAATACAAAATGACTTTAAATTCAATCAGAAGCCTAGACTTACAGTTGTAAATGTTACTTTGAGTTTGTTCGTAAACTCTTTCATTGTAACCAAATTATTTAAAAGTGTGTAGTATGGAAGTTATCCTCGTTATTAACATGACACCATAGCATTGTATTTTCGTTATGGCTTCAGCTACTAGATTTCTTTTCAGAATGCCAACTATTTATTTTGCTAATAATGTTAGCTATCTAATTATTTAAAGCTGTCTGAAAAGATCTGTACTGTCTTTGTTAATCCTTGGGGTGCAAGGTGATAAAGTTTTTCTAATAAGGCTTCCATAGATAATGTTCCTATTTGACCAGATAAACAAAAATTACTTTTAAACATGTTTCAGATAAAAATAACTTGGTTCTTTCAGCTGCATTAGTTGATTGGTCCAAATCTGAGATTTGTAAGTTTATTCTTACCACTGACTAGGGTACCTAAATTCTTGCATTTGTCTCCTTATACACCTCTCATCCAATACATCACCAAAGACAAAGAAAGATAAACTCTGGCCCAATTTTTTTTTTTTTTGCTTAAAAATTCCAAAGCACTAGGAGCACTTTAAGTTTGGTCTTGAAAGAAGGAGCTGTTTATAAAATCAAAGGGCTACCGATTCCCTGTTCATTTGCACTGAAGCACATGATGACAATTTCAAGCCTTCTTTTTGTTCATTAATTAGAAAAGTGAATTTCATTACATAAGTGTATAATTCTACAGAGATTAGCACTATTTGTTTTTATCATTTCACTTGGGTGGCCATTAATTTTGAAGCTGTTACCATTCACTGTAGCTGGTTGTAGTTTTATGGAAGACGTAATTTATAGCTAAAGTGGCTTTTTTATGCATAGCTGCCTTTTAAAATCATTTAACAGTGTTTCTCAGCTATATAATCAGTTTCAAACTGGTTGTAAAAGTATAGCTGTGGCCAATGAATGTATTTACTTGTTTCACTAGATTGTAACAAAGCACTACTGTTAAAAATAAAAGTGTTTGTGCTTTTATTTGGAGGTCTGGTTTTCTTAATCTCTCTTAATGGACTATACTGAGTTTCTATCACCTAAGGATAAGAAGGCTGGTGCTACCACAAAAAAGAAAAACAGACTTACAAATGATAGTTTGCTTTTAGTCATCTCATAATTACTTACAACTAGGTTCATATTCTTTTTTTTAAAAACATTTTTTATTATAAAATCGTGGGGTACAGTTAAGGGTTAGGTATACAAATGTGCATCGTTCAGGCACCCTTGTTGATAAGGTGTGTCTCCCCATCCCCAGACATATTCACTACCGTTAATCCCACCTCCCTTCCCCTCTCCCCTCCATAGTTCCCCACCACTGTCAGTCCTTTTCTAATAGTATTATGATAGATGCTCAAGGTCCACTATATGAGTGAGAATATGTGATATTCAGATCTTTGTTTCTGTGAGAGATCACTCAGTATTATAGACTCTAGTTGCATCCAGGTT